ATATATATATATAATTGTTTTCCTGAGCATTTAGTGATTCATCATTATGCGTGTTTGATTCAACATTTTTCCTATGTTTTAATGAGGCGAAAAATACTTCATTGCCCCCGTGGCGTTTCGACTTCTACCATAGGCTATAAGTCTTGTGAAATGGACGCTTGATTATTTTATATCTCTTTATTTGACTTCGCGTGATTTTTCTCTTCTACCTTCCTATCCACATTGTGACTCCCAATTCTCTTACAAACTTTTTTGTATATACTTGCTAGGAGTGTCATCGGTCGTCTTTGAGAGGTAGGTGGCAACATAATCAGATTTTGAGCCTTCAAGCCAAACTCGGTTACAAGTTCAAGTGATTTGGGTGGTTGGTAAGGGGGAAAAATCAGCAGGTGATTGCAGGGGAAGCTTGTAACTATTGAGTTGTTAATTCTTGTAACTATTGAGTTGTGTACGTAGATCAATTCTTGTAACTATTGAGAATGAATCTCATCTCATTTTGCAGTGAGATGAGATTCATTCTCAATAGTTACAAGATCATCTCTACTCAACTCACGCCAAACTCCGTCACAATCATAATTACCTTCATCATCTACCTTCGGTGGGCTTCTGTGGTCGATAGAGTTGTTAATGTATTTCTTTGGTTTCAAGGTTGATCGGGATGGCTACACCGTTTTCTTGTCCGGTCCCAGACTTCGAGTATTAGAAGTCGAGAACAAGCTAAAGGATTGGCGGTCCAAGTTCGTAATTGCCACTCATCAACTTGGCTGAGGGATTTGCATACGAACTATTGCCAAGTGGGTAGTGAGGTCGAAGTTGATGCTAGTTTATCAAACATCTACATTTAAGCGAATATGATTGAGGGGAGCAGCCTCTTTGTGTTCCATTTTACATAAAGGGATGTCGTCGATAAGGTCTTTTGGCCTGAGATTTCAAGAAATATGATAGAGGGTCTATGGAGGAATCAGATGAGAGGGAGAAGGAAAGGATCAAGGCAGCAGAGGCGAAGGTCGAAGGGAAAAGGGCCAGGGTCTTTGTGTTCCATACCCAAGCTCTCTCTATCCATGTAGATATATGTATATATATATAGATAGTTATTAAAAAGTCAAACAAGCACTTCTATTTTTTTTTGTCTTGCGGTCAATCACCAATGTAGAAATTCCACCACCGTCCTTGATTTCGCGTGTAAATGTATAACAAAATGGGCTCATGAGTGAAATTTTTCTAAAATTTTCATGCGAGGAAGTCACATGTTTTGAAAATCAAATTCAAACTAATTGGGCATTTTTATCTTTAGGGTAGGGTTGTAAGTTCCACTTAACCAATTTGTTCCTTCTCCTCTTAAGTGTTGGAGTTGATAAGACTAATAATTTTGAAATAATATCCAAATCACAAGTATCAGAATTTACAAAGCCAAATCACTTACGGTTCGTTTGAGGCGGTGTTGCGGTGGTGTTTTCAAAACACACCGCGATTTTGTCTGTTTGGGTAAACAGTGTTTTGACAGTTTTTTCAAAAAACAACATTTTCAGATCGCTAAAATCAGCATTTTCACACTGAACCTGGCTAGGTGCGGTGGTAGCTTTCTAGTTGCGGTCTTGCTTTTTCAAAAGAAAAAAAATATGATAGCCACCACAAGTTTTTGAATTAAAATTATTTTTTTGCGGTTTCACAACTGCTTTGTAATAAGCTGCAATTATCCCAAGCAGACCCATAGTTTGATTTCTCTCTTTGTTAAAACTGAAGTCGACATGACTAATCTTTTAAAGCTCTAAAATTGATAAATGTCAAAAGAATCTTAAACATAAAAGTTTTAATTGTTCAAATCCGCAAAGATGATCGTGTTGATTGAAGATTTCAACAACTTTTAAAAATCAAATTCTAAATTAAGCATTCAAAGTAATCAACCAATTTATTCAAGTTGAAATCAATCACCTAAATTCCTTAAAATTGAATTCATCCACTCTCTACAATCATTTATCAAGGGTGACAAATTTTTGATTTACGTCAGTTCACAAAGAGTGAATGTCACATCGATTGTACCACTATATTTACACTTAAATAATCTCACATAATAAGGATGTGGCCCGAGTCCACTGTCCATGTGATTTGGCCTAAAGTCTCCACAAAAAATAGTGGTTATCTCCAGAGTCCTCTAACTTAAAAACAATCTCACATAATAAGAATGCCTCCTGAGTCTTCTGTCCATGTGATTTGGCCTAAAGGGTCCACAAAAAATAGCGGTTATGTTCATAGTCCTCTATCAAAATGTTGACTGCAAATGGTAGCATTATATTACGTCATACCCGGTTTGCTCCCCAATGACTTTCTACCATTTGTGTCGTGAATCATAAGGGTATAATTGATTGATACAAAATTTTATGTTAGCTAAAGTCCACTTAAATTTATCCTCTCACACAAACTTCCACCACAGATTTACAAGGGTTCCTTGAATGACACAACTCATGTTTGGTGATAAGGATATTTCAATTAGGTTGTGTGGAATACTTCCTCTAACTAAGTAGATCAAGGACTACGACGACCCGGGACTACGAAACCATTTTACATTGATCGGGTTTGTTATCATTTCCACCATCATCTGCTTTAAGCTCAAGCTTAAACTATTGTAATCTATACCTTATGTTTGCTGCTTCTGCATGTTAAATATTCAAGGCTAAATGACCAACTTTAATCTAAGGTACTATCCTGTTATCAAGAGGGATAACCCTAGATCAAAAAGTTCTTATGAAATGAGGGATAAATCTCTGGGTAGTGTCTTATCTACAATTTAATCTACCACCTGAAAATTTGACCCTTAAAGCTCTCAACAACATAACAAAATGATAGTTCAAGACATTGAATTTTCGAAGCCCATATGCATATTTTCTATTTATCAATCAAATGAGCTCTAAATAGACAACCTTTTCATGCATGTTGCACATGATTCTAGCTCTCTTTCATCAAGCAAATAAATTAAAATACTCTCTAAGAATAATTGAGGTGTAATTAAGCATCTCTGTTTTATTGACACTAAGTTCAAATAAAAAATTTGTTGTGTTCAATATCATTTAAAGATAATCTCTTCATGATGTCTGAGTGTGGAATATGTTGTAGGACCATTAAGCATCTCTAAGCTTCATTACCACTGTGATTCAGATGAACTGATTAGCACATTCAAACTGCCTTACATTAAACTCAACAAACATTTCAATGTAGAATTTATATTCTTTTTGCCTAGCTTTTCAGAAATTACTTTTGATTTATATTAAAAATACCTTTACAAAAATCCTTATTTTGTTTATTCACTTCCCCGTATCATGACAAGCACACAAACTAATTAATGAAACAGAACATAATCAAAACAAAACCCATAAATTTCTGAATGAAAGATGGATAACCCACATATTTTTGCTCATATGTTCCAAAAGTATATACAAGAAGATATCATAGCTGGAGTCTACTTACAAAACAAATTTAAAAAATATATATATATGCACATGCTAATGTTACTGATATAAAAATGTTATTTTTTCTTAAACCCCAGAAAAAAATGTTGAAAAATAAATAATTGTATAGCTGGAGTCTACTTACAAAACAAATTTAAAAAAAAATATATATGCACATGCTAATGTTATTGATATAAAAATGTTATTTTTTCTTAAATCCCAGAAAAAATGTCTAAAAAAAAAAAATTGCTTCCAAGTTCACTGACATAGGATCAAGCTCGCACTCTGTAATTAAAGCTTGAATCCCTATAAACATCCTTGCAGAGAATTGATCGAACCTCCAATATTGATCTTGGTGGTTCCAAGTCCTTCTCCTGCAATGTGTTGTTTCCAAGCAGCTTCTGCATCTGTGATGCAAAAGTTTCATCAAGTACCTACATCATTTCAACCATAGTTTAAATTCCAAAAATCCAAAATAAATAAAAATCACACACATATATATATATATATTCAAAATCACATTATTGTAACATAAAATAATTTGGGTAGATTGTGCTTACAGCTACAGTGGCTCTTGAAGCTTTACACAATGACTTGTTCTCTTTATGATTCTCCAAGAACTTGAGCACATCCTGTCCCAATCTCTCCCAAAGGCAACGACACACAGAAACAAAAACTTTTACCTCAAGGACCTTGTCAATGTGATTTATTGTATCTGTTAGGTGATCCTTCAAGGGTTGCATTCTCTTCCGAACATCACTTTCTGCGACGATGCTTTTAGATTCTTGAAGTATCTTCTTAAGATTTGTGGCTCTCTGTGCGCGAGTCTAATATCACAAAGTGGATCTGCTAATAGTTAGACATCTATCCAAGAAGGGATATAAAAAAGAAAAAAGAAGAAGATTTACATACATACTACTCGATTCCTATGCATCTCTTCATAGCTAACACCTAAAATTCAATTTTTACATGCATGCCACTTTACCTATGCATGAAAAGTTGTATTTAAGTTTTTAAAAATTAAAATAGTGGTATTTTTTATGTGATATGAAAGATTTGGGCGCTATTAATGTAAAATATAAAGTGTAGGTGTTAGATATGTAAATACATAGGGATTGAGAGGTATGTATGTAAATGCCCCAAAAATGAAAAAACAGACTGGAGACCGGAAAGGAAATGCATCAATACGAAACTTGTTGCAATAATCAATTTCCATAGCAAAGTGTGGTCAGTAGTTTCAACATGCGTATATTTGAACTTGATGGCATTTTAGGCACCAAAAATTTGTCAGAAGTTCTAGGTGGAAAAGGGTTTTTGGCACCAAAATTTTCTCAAATAGGCAATATAGGAATTGTTGTCAGACAATTATAATCATAATACCAAGAAGTGAGAATTCATAAATACTCACATTCTCTGCAAGTTTCTCCACAACTGCATGGAGGTAGTTTCTAAACTTTGATCTCACAATTACTGCAACTTCACTCAGACGTTCCCCAGCCACTGCATTCCCAGTATCAGGCATGCAAGAACCCCAAGACTTCAGCTCCATTTCTATTCTTGGCCTCAACACATCCAACAATCTTTTCATGGTATTCAGGAGAATTCCTAGCTGCGAAGAGCAGCAAGAAGAGCAATTAACATAATGCAGTTACGTAAGAAAGATAGAATGGAATAAGTAAGATAAACCAACTCACCTCATCAGGAATGCTGTAAGGACAGACCTTCTTACCTCTAGCAAGTTTATGCACAAACTTAAGGCCTAAGGATTTTGGAGCCATACTATCCTTCAATGGAGATAGAACATCTGCGTACTGTTTCTGCAAAGTCTCAAGCATTGCTTTCTCAACATCCACGATTGCCTTTAAATTTAGAGAAAAAATATAAGCATTAAATAAGTATAAGAAATTGATGGATTCTGAAAAGGAGAAAGAAAAAGATGGATGTAAAGAGTTGTGGCATCACTAATCCAATCATACGTTTTCTAGAACAAGAATATATTCAGGCCAACGACGCATGATGATTTCGTATTCATTCAGGGTTTCCTTCAGGCGATCATAAATTTCATCAACGAAGGGAGTGGTCAAATGCTGAGTTCGAACTCCAGACCATTTCACCTATTCAACAAGGATTAGCAGAAAAATTAGAAAAAATTTTTGGCTAAACCAATGGTAGAAAACCATCTACTTTCACTAAAACTATATATACATACCTACATACATTCATACAAAGATACATAGAGAGAAAACTCATACATCATTTATTTCATATGCATTTAAACATCTAACTCTTAAACTTTAAATTTTATATATATGCCACTTTTTATATATAAATGAAAAAAAAGTGTAATTCACATTTTGGAAGTTAAAATATTAATATTTTTGATGTGATGGGAAAGATTTGGAGTGAATAGATGTATAAAAAGTAAATTAGCGATGTAAATAGATAAGAATTGGGTGTTATGCATAGATGTATAGAAATTATAGTTTAAGTGTTAGCTATGTAAGTAAATGCTCTTCTATATAAGTAGATACAAGGCTGTTTCTTTTCCCAAATGTACGCCCAACGTACGCAAGCTGCGTCCGGACAACGGCTGCACTCCAGTGTAATTCATATTTTGGAAGTTAAAATATCAATTTTTTTTATGTGATGGGAAAGATGTGGCTTGCATGGATGTATAGAAAGTAAAGTTCAAGCGTTAGCTATGTAAATAGATAAGAATTGGGTGGTATGCATAGATGTATAGAAATTAAAGTTTAATGTTAGCTATGTAAGTAAATGCTCCAAGTAGATACAAGGCTGTTTCGTTTCTCAAATGTATGCCCAACGTACGCAAGCTGCGTCCGGACAACGGCTGGACTCCGATGGATTGCAACCGGTTTGAGATAATATTTTTTCCCATCGTATAAGACCTTACGACAATACTTGAGCAGTGACGAGATATGCTCCCTCTCCTCCTCCGTCTTAACCGCATAGATTATGCGCCTCCGCCTTTACAACAACATTTCATCCTCATATCTAGAATAATATGATATGATTGATTGTTTGCCATTGGATGAAATGTTGTGGTGAAGTCAAAACATCACATATTTATCCTCTTTCATTTTCTTCCAAGCTTAGAAGCAAATCTCTAAGTATTGGTGTCTCATGGGGTTACCTAATTAGTTCATGTATATCCTTACTAGTTTCTTAATTGGTAATAAAATGTCCAATTTTTGCAGGTCTATCAATCTTGCTAAGATCCAATTAAGCAAACTTCAAAATCTATTATACTAATCTCCCACTTTCATTTCAAATTAATTAGAAAACATGACACTACCATTTTTTTTTTGTTCAATTTTAACAATCTGACATATTAAATACTTGACTACAAAATATGCATCAATATTTTTCATATTAGGACACCTATAAAATTCCTCATATCTTGATGCATTTTAGTACTCATTGTATGAACATAAAAGATTGATATGAATGAATAATATATAATCGTTCTTTGAATCTTGATGCAAGCGCGTGATCAGTATTGATCTGAATTTCCATTTTTCTAACTTGATTCTTAAGCTTTTTCAAATGAACATCTTCCATCTGAGCAGTATGAATTTGATTACAAGTATTGGTTCAATGCATAATCATCTTCCATATCTTGTTAACCTTAGATAATAATGATAATAATAATCATATTCAATCCGAGCTCTGAAAATCTAGTTTGGTATTATTGGTTGAATAATAATCATTTTCCACATCAAATTGTTTGCTAACTATTATTATTAGTATTTTTTGTTTTCATGTATAATCATTTGATATGTTAAATACTTATCTATAAAATATGCAATAACTTAATTTATAATAGGGCACTATAAAAATTCCTTGAGATTAGTTATATTTTAATCCAAATTTTTTATGTTCGGTTTTAACCAGTTGATATATTAAATACTTGGCTATGCCTAAACTTTGTTCATACAAGGGTACCAAAAAAATCACTTTCTTGATGCATAATCCTTAGATGAGCTTAATATGCACTTCTCAAAATATCTGCAATCAGTCTTATTTGATCTAAAGCATATGTAAACTTTTAAATTCCAATGCACATGCATGATTAATAATGAATTTGAGTTTTCTTCTATTTTAAATGTGATTATAATCCTTAGACGAGCTTAATATGCACTTCTCCAAATATCTGCAATCAGTCTTATTTGATCTAAAGCATATGTAGATTTTTAAATTCCAATACACATGCATGATTAATAGTGAGTTCGAGTTTTCTTCTATTTTAAATTTGATTCTAAGCTGCGCATGAACCAATATGGAGTGATGTGCACTGAAGTTCTTGATGCCTACTCCTTAGATGAGCATAATATGCACTTCTCAAAAGATCTGCAATCATAGTCTTATTTGATCTAAAGCATATGTAGATTTTTAAATTCCAATGCACATGCATGATTAATAATGAATTCGAGTTTTCTTCTATTTTAAATTTGATTCTAAGCTGCGCATGAACCAATATGGAGTGATGTGCACTCAAGTTCTTGATGCCTAATCCTTAGATGAGCATAATATGCACTTCTCAAAAGATCTGCAATCATAGTCTTATTTGATATAAAGCGCATGTAGATTTTTAAATTTCAATGCACCTGCATGATTAATGATGAACTCAGGTTTTCTTCTATTTAAATTTGATTCCTAAGCTGCATCAACCAATAAGGAGTGATGTGCACTTCTCAAAAATATCTGAAATCATAGTCTTGATTTGATCTAATGCACATATACATGTTTAAATTTCAATGCACTTACATGATTAATAATGAACTTGAGTGTTCTATTTCAAGTTTGATTCCTAAGTTGCATCAAATCAACATCTTTTGTAATGGTTGAAGTATCATCTTGTATATTAGCATGTTGACCTCCCCACATATGATCCTACTAAAATCATCACATTTGATTGTTGACTGCTATTTGTGATCCACGAGCAACTCAATCGAAATCGAATATAATGACAATGGTGAAGTGAAAGATGATGCAATTAGCAAGATGATCTACTCAAAACATCCAAATTTATATAAACTACTCAAATTTCACACTTTTTTGTGGAATACATCACCACATTGAAATATCCCAATGTAGATCACCTATGCAATTGTATGAAACAAATTCTCTCCTCTCATGTGCTTGTTGTTTGATAGGCACTATTCAATTATAAAAATTAAAATAAATAAAATTAAACTATTAATGAGGACGCCTATTGCAACTTCTTGAGATTGTAGTCTTTTATGACTACCACCAAATGCAGAAAAAGATGACAAGCCCACCCTCTCCCCTTTATTATACAAAATAAATAAATAACTAAAAAGTGCCTCCATTTTTTTCTTCCCACCCTTTGCACACAATAGCATCAAGCTATCTTATTTGAAGTGGACGAATGCAATGGGTTTATAGTGTGATAGAAATGTACCACTTAGATTTAAAGGAAAATTTAATAAGATGGTGGTGAGACCTGCAATGCCCCATAGTGCAGAATGTTGGCCCTTTAAAAGAGAAGCATAAAACAAAGTTAGTTGTTGTTGAGATGAGAATGCTTAGGTGGATGAATGACTTGATACTAAGAGACAAAATGCAAAATGAATATATTCGTGATATGATTGGTGTAGCTCCTGTAAAAATATTAGAGAGAGTAATCTTAGATGGTTTGCTCACATTAAACGTCGAACATCTGATGATCAGGTTAGGAGAGCAGATGTTTTAGATTCGACTTATGTTAAGAAAGATAGAGGTCGACTTAAAAAGACTTGGACATATTGTATTAAAAAAGATCTTAATCCATTAGAATTATATGTAAATATGACACTCAATAGGGCGCAATGGAAAAAAAAGATCCATGTAGCCCACTTAGTGGGATAAAGGCATATTGTTGTTTTTTTTTTTGTTGGTTAAAGTCACCAGCTCTCAGAATTGGTTTTTTCAGATTAAAGTTAGAACAATTTTAGTGTAAGTTAATGTCTGCATAATGCTGTGAAAATATGAGCCTTGATAAATGTTAGCACTTGACATTTTACGCGAGTATACTTGAAGTATACTGAGGCCCCAGAAATCATGTTTTAGGATTTCTATGACAGAAGGGTTGAATGTAAATAAATGAATATAAACAGTGAAATAAAGTATTCAATGTACCTTATCTAGTTTGCAAGATTCAAGCAATGTAAGGCGCTTATCTTGAATCCACAAAATTATGTACAAGTGAAACAACTCTTTGGCATCAACACCTCCCTTCACAGGACTGCAAAGACCATAGAATTTTAAAGAAATTTAATTATGAAAAAAATAAACTTATCATACTTATTTTTTTACTTATTTTTTAAACTTCATCATACTTACGAAATACTCCAGCTAGCAAGATCTTTCTGAAAATCTGCAGTAGCAATAACAAGATCTGCCACATGTTGTGAAAGGCCTGTAGGTGGACAAGCTTTAAGGAATGAACGCAATCTTGTACAAAGCTCCACACTGTAGATTGATGCTGATAGGCTTGGAAGGTCTATAAAACTGTTTTGTCAAGGAAAGAACAAAAGCAAAATCAGAAACATTTATGCATCTAAAGAGCAATATTCTGAGAGATCATAAATCATTGAACAAGAATCACCCAGTACCTGGGAAGAATATGATGATTGTAGATTTCAAAATCAGTACGAATTTCTTTGACTATATCATAGCACAAACTTTTCATCTTTTGGTAAGTTGTAGCAATGCCAACAACATCCAGTAAAGTTCCTTCAGTGCTATTAGCAAAAATCTCATCAGTATCCAACATATGCCTCCTTGATCTCTTCTTGACACCAACCTGAGCATACAACAACATATCACTGACATTTCTTTATGCAATATTTGTTGTTAAAACACTAAGGTGTCATGCATTAATGAAATTATATACCTGAAAATAGTTGCACAGCATCAACTGAGCTTCGGGAGATAGTATATCATGAATAAGAGTGTATAGCTTCACAGAGATTGCCAGTGCTGGTGCTGGATTTCCATTTGGAGGGCCAAAGACTTCAACCAGTCCAGAGAACGAGGATTCATCTAATGACTTGTAATTCTCAAAAACCAAAGAAAGGACCTGGTCAATTTGCTCCTTCATTTCTCCAAGAATGCGATTCTAATCAAAGAAAGATATTGAATAAGGACCATTTTTGTTTACTTTTCATGCTTGTATTTAAAACATAAATTTTGTTATGAAGTCTGCATGGCTATGTGCTGAACTTACATCTATGGCTGCAAGTTAAACCATAATGATTGGAGTTTGAAAATGACCTAACTGCACTGTTTAATTTGTTGACATTTCTTAGGTGTCTGAATATCTATCTGTTTGAATGTGTAGTCTAAATCTGTTGCACTTTATTGGCATGAGCTAAGATAACCTATCTGGATATGCCAATATGCCACAGTGATCGAAGGAGCTGACAAAGCAGACAATTCATCGCTACTAAAAAAAGCAAAATAGAAACTACGGCTCGGAAACAACTTGCACAAAATTTTGATAGGAAAAAAAATCGAAACATTAACAATACATATACCCTACAAACTTTAAGAATATGAGAAATAGAATCGATTGCCTTGTGTGTTTCTTTCTTAAACTCTATTACCCAATAATAATTTATCTATTCCCTTTCTTTCTTATAAATCAACAGTAGTCTTCATCTTTCCCTTTTCATTAAGTTTTCGTTATCTTTCCTCTCTTCATATTGCTAGACATTAAAGGAAACATTTTGCTTCATCATTATCATTTCTCTCAAATATAATTAGGATGAATTTAGAACTATTGGATTTGATATCTAATGTAGAGTTCTATTTATAAATTGAAGAAGTCTAGGAGCTTATTTGTAACTGTTAATGAAATGAGTAAGATTTTACCAAAATTTTTATTTCTATATATGATATCAGAGCCACCAAGGTTTCGGGAATCCTTCTGTGCAAGCGAACGACGAACGGAGCTTCGCGGTCCTTCTAAGCAGGGATCCCGTCGCTGCTTCCCTAGCTAGCTGTGTTTCATGGGTTGAGGCTTATCGGTGCGAGCAAGGTGTCGACTCTGGTCATGTAAAGGAGCACAAGAACCTATGGAGGACCTACAAATATTGAGATTTTCATACCTAATTTATATTGATTTTGATGATATTACACTTTAAAGAAAGATATTTTTGATGTTTTGTTGCAGGTATGTTGAATTATGGTCATTGGAGCAAAAAAATGCAAAAATGAACAAATTTGGAGCAAAAAAGACCAAAATATTAAGATTTGATCTTGGGCGCCGACGGCGAGCATGACGCCGCCGACGGCGAGCTTGACGACGACGCCGACGGAAATTTTTTCTCGAGGCTACAGGATAAAATTCTTCAGAAGGCCACCGACGGCGCCATCGAGGCCGTCGATGGCGAGAGCTTTGGGGCCGTCGATGGCGAGAACGTCGGTTCTCTCAACAGATGCATTGAATGTGGACGATTTTTTAAGGGACGCTTGGACAACTCTTGAAAACTTTTCTACAACTTTAAAAGAAACATTTGGAGGCCGAAAAAGTGTGTGTCCGGGGGTGTCCACTGGTGTTTGCTCAGTCTTTGTTGTCTGTGGTGCCCATTAGAGTGTAGAGAGTGGTTAGTATTGTGAGAGAGATTGTAAGAGTGGAACGAAAGCGAGAGATTTCTTCCTCCTTGCCGCTTCGAAGTAGAATTCTGTGTACTGTAAAGAAAGGAAGAGATTCAGAGGAACTTCGAGGAATTAGAGATAAGTTATATTTACTTATTGAAGTTTGTATGACTTTGCTTTTATATATAAATTCCAAGTTTTGTCGTATCTTCTTCATGAGTTCTGAGTTGTTTTTTCTATCTTTCTTCTTGTCTTGAGATTTTGTGAACTTGTGATTTGAATTGGTTCTGCCATGAGAATGTTAAACAAGTTGTGATGATCTTTTCACTTCAATCTTAATTTACTTTCAATCTGCCCAATTGATTTGTTAAAATATGTTGAGTTTTATAACTAAAGTGAAGATTATATCCAAGATTTAGGGACGTCAAAGTCCTTGAAAGTTGGGTGCAAATAAATAAGAAAATAAAAATTATCGGGCGTAGAATTAGAGATTTTAGAGTGACAGACTAAAATCCTCAATTGGTCCTATCGTTTGGTTGCTGAAGTGTAGATGTTAGCCCTCAGGCGAGGGGAACTCGGGAGCTCCGAAGTGAAAGCCGGTATCCTGCCAGCATAGCCACCAAGCATATGATTAGTCAATATTCTTTATGCCTGGTTCAAAGGGTAATATTTGACACAATACAATTTGAACTGATTCAATTTATCCATTCACTTAAATTTCTTGACAAGGAGAAGAATGCTTTTTTATATATTGAACTTCACATTAGAAACTTTATTAGTAGAATTAGTTAATTAAGAGTTTATTAAAATTGTATTTTTATTTCAATTTCCTAATAGTGACAAATATGCAAATTGAACTATATTGTTGTGATTAAGTATTGGTTTTTAATCTTAGTTCGTAGCTTCTAATATTACTCCCTGTGTGATCGATATTCAGGACTCCATTAGAGTCCTGTATTACTTGAACGATACGTATACTTGCATTGATAAGTGTGACTTTACAATTATTGAATATTTTATATACATCTTTATCAAATCTATAACCGTTGTCAAGTTTTTGGCGCCGTTGCCGGGATTTAAATCTTCTAGCAGCAGTATCAAATTCTTGTATTTTTAAACATATATAAAGTCGTTGTCACAGATCAAATGAAGAAATCTCGGCGGACATTTATTGGTCATAAGATGTTTCATCCTTCCTTAAATTTGCATGATATCAGATCATGTAAATAGCCTAGAAGATTGAAGGATTTATGTCATACCGAATGATGACTTTAGAATCCTAAAAAGAGTTAGGACTTATATTACACAATATGATTGTGCAAAAACCTAAAAATAAAGTGAGTATTATTTATGTCGCACTAAGCAGACAACCTCGAGGTCTTATGGATTTGTTGTTTAAATTAGGAAAGGTTTAACTGATGGAAGTGGAAGCCATTGTTGATCAGTGGAGGACTTTAGCGAATAAATTATCGTGGCGAGGGTCATCGGATGTTTCATCCCTCCTTAAATTTACATGATATCTGATCATGTAAATAGCCTGGAAGATCGGAGAATTTATGTCATACCGAATGACGACCTCAGAATCTTAAAAAGAGTTAGAACTTATATTGCACAGTATGATTGTTAAAAGCCTAAAGATAAATTGAGAATTTATGTCGTACTAGGCAGACAATCTGGAGGTCCTATAGATTTGTTGTTTAAACTAGGAAAGGTTTAGCTGATGGAAGTGGAAGTCATTGTTAATAAGTGGAGCAATTTAGCTAATAAATTATCGAGGCGAGGGTCATCGGATGTTTCATCTTTCCTTAAATTTGCATGATATTTGATCATGTAAATAGCCTGGAAGATCAGAGGATTTATGTCATACCGAATGACGACCTCAGAATCCCAAAAAGAGTTACGACTTATATTGCACAATATGATTGTGCAAAATTCTAAAGATAAAGTGAGGATTTGTGTCGCATACCGAATGACGACCTTAGAATCTTAAAAAGAGTTAGGACTTATATTGCATAATATGATTGTGTAAAAGCCTAAAGATAAATTGAGAATTTATGTCGCATTGAATAGACAATCTCGAGATCCTATGAATTTGTTGTTTAAACTAGGAAAGGTTTAGCTGATGGAAGTGGAAGCCATTGTTAATCAGTGGAGGAATTTAGCCAAGAAATTATCGAGGTGAGGTTCATCAGATGTTTCATCCTTCCTTTTATTTGCATGATATTTGATCATGTAAATAGCCTGGAAGATTAGAGGATTTATGTCATACTGAATGAGGACCTCGAAATTTCAAATAGAGTTACGACTTATATTGCACAATATGATTGTGCAAAAACCTAAAAATAAAGTAAGGATTTGTGTCTCATAAGACAGACAACCTCGAGGTCCTAAGGATTTACTGTTTACAATAGGAAAGATTTGGCTGATGGAAGTGGAAGTCATTGTTGATCAGTGGAGGAATTTAGCCAACAAATTGTCGTGCCGAGGGTCGTGTTAGCTTCCGTCGCGAGTGGCTTTGCCGAAGCGACAACAGAGATGGAACCTAGAATCGAGGCGAAGAACTTCGAGATCGTGAGGATCACGGATAGGCTTCGATATTACGAAGCTACGAACAAGGAGACATCTCAAAGAAACTTGAAGGTTGTTGAGATATAAGGTGATGGTGGCTCAAGATCATCTTATAGGAAGATTAAAGATGAAATTCGTGAAATGAGGCTGAAGTGACTGATTGAGATTAAGAAAGGAAAGTAGACAAAGCTTCGGTTGGATTGTGTGGCACGAGAACAACGACTACAACTTCATGCAAAAGCATTAAAGAAGGGGTGCGACTACGACTTCTTGCAGAAGCATTTAAGAAGGGGTGTGAGACTTCTGTGGCTATTGGGTCGAACAAAAGAGTTGTGATGACAGGAAAGAAGAAGAGGAATTGGCTTCATCAATCTAAGGTATGACAGGTGTTCAGGGGAGTCCCGTAGGTGTTACAACTGTGAAGACGTGGGAAGGTATGATAAGTGTTCAGGGGAGTCCCGTAGGTGTTACAACTATGAAGATGTAAGACACCTGAACAAGGCTTGTTCAAAGCCACCCATGGAGAAAGAGACAGGTGAACGGTGATTGTCTAGAGGGAGCTATCAAGGAAATCTGATGGTAGCAGAGAAAAAGGGAAGGTAAGGGTGGTCTTTACTGATGAGGATCACGAGTTGCTAGTGATGTTGAAGAGGAAGCAGAGAAGAACATATGATGTCATTGAGAATGCATCCACCTTCTCAACATCTAAGGGAAACACTGTTAGTTATACTAATTCAACCAAATATGCTCAAGATACATAAGCTCTTGCCTCTATATCAACCATATGTTCATTAGAACGTATAGTAGATTCTAGTGCATCTCAACATATGACAGGTGCCGCTAGTGAGTTCTCTTCCTATACTCTCCTGACAGTTCCAGAAAGCATTCAAACTGTAGATGGGACAACACAGTCTGTGAATGATAATGGTATAGTGAGGTCCAATTTTTTGC